TAATCATTTTTGGAAGGAAATTTGAACAGGTTTTCTGTTTTCCCGTTATTTCTTTCAATATTTTCCATATTTGTTTTGAATCATTTTTATATTTAGTGATTAGATTAGCGTAATAACTTTTTTTTAAGTTTTTTTCAAATAGAGTTTTGTAGTTTTTAGTTATGCGTAAATTAGCATGAGATTTTGTTTTTAAATATTTTATATACAATTTTTGAAGATTTTTTAAGACCCTCGGTAATCCAAGGACTACTTAAGGTTTTTGGTTTTAAGGTTATTTCGAAAACGGGAAAATTCGCATCGTACACCGAGAAGGATGTATTAAAGAACTTGCTATAGATTACATTTATGTCTTCATTAAAATTTATATGCTTCCAGTTTAACAATGATAATTGATATTTAAATGCTTCTAAATTTTTTTCGTTGAAAAACGTTTTCTTATAGTTTGACTTATTAATGTTAGGAGTTGAAATTGTGTTAATTGTTAGAAAAATGGGGAAATGGTCTGATATATCTGATTTTATAATGCCTATTTGAATTTCATTGTCATATATATTTGTTGTTAAAATATTGTCTATAAGGGTGGTTGAGTTTTCTGTTATTCGAGAAGGCCTGTTGATAAGCGGTATTGCTCCTGATACAAATATTTCATTATAAAAACTTTTTCATTTTTTTTTTCGCTATATCGTAAGTAATCCATATTTAAATCGCTACACAGTGGTTTATTTTGCACTTTTTGTGGACATTTGACTATACTTAGGAAAAATCTCTTTGTGCGACATGGAAAAACAAAACATGGTCATGATATTTGTTTTTAGCTTAATTTTTGAAGTTCCATCATTAAATAATACACCTGAGGGCATACCATAACTCTAGGACACCAAAATAACACACTGCAAAATACGCAAAAAAAAAGTCAGTAATAACATTTTTTCAGATAGGCATACATAGTCAAAGTTCATGTTTTAAAGGTAAGCTTTCAAGCCTTATCCATTAAAAATACTCTTATGTTCATCACAATGATTGAACTATAGGCTCTAGGACACCTATAGGGCACTTTAAAGATATAATACAGGATTCTTATATAAAGTTTAAATACATGTTTTTATGTCAGTTGGATAAAAATATATTCCGCTAAAAATATTCACAAAATCATAAAATATATAAAGGACACAAAGAAAACACACTGAAAAACATTAAAAAAGACACTAAAAAGGAAATGTCATTAACTGTTCTAAATTAATTATATAGTCGCAATACGTTATTGAAATATTTTTTTAAGCTCCATAAATTAAAAAAATCATATAATAACTGTAGGACACCAAAATGTTTGATTTAATTAGTTATTGTCTTTTAAAATAACGTTAATATACGATGTTATATGTGTTTTTAACTGCCATACATCTAAAGCGATAAATTTAGGGCCCCATAAAATTTTTAAACAAATGAAATTTTTTTTTTATTATATGTCAAATTTTAAAAGTTCGGCTATCTTGTTGTGGTTTTAAATGCGAAGATTTGAAGACTATAAACTTTTAAATTAAAAGCACGTTTAAGTAGTTAAGCAGTTAAGTCCGTCATCAGCAAACTAATCGTGGTAATTAAACGCATCGGAGAAATTCCAATCTCACTATTAGGAAACAATCAGATACCAGACAATTATTATAAAACAATTTATTTCTACCATCAAAATTCATATTTTTATTTGTATGATCATTTAAACTTATATAAATAGAGTAAATACTTTTATGATAACATTATTTTGAAATAACAGTAAAACAGTAAAATATTTAAAAAAAGAAAAATAATAATAACAAAAACAATAAAATATGGCAACACTTGAAGAATATTGCTTAGAACAGAGCATCAATTATTTACTTATTATAATTATAAAACAATTTTTGACAATTTCACTCATGTATTTGATTTGACTACCATAATAGAAAATGAAACGCAAACTAGTTAAGCTAAAGAAAATTAAGTTGGAATACTAAAAAATATTTTGCGATATATATATATATATATATATATATATATATATATATATATATATATATATATATATATATATATATATATATATATATATATATATATATATACATATATATATATATATATATATATATATATATACATATATCATGTTTTATCATTATTTATAGGATTTTGCTAAAAATGAAACAATGGATGTTAAAAGTGTGTGTGAATTTTTTCTAACAAGATGAGAAGAAAAAAAAATAAAACATTAAAGTTGAAAATACCGACAGTGACAGCGGCTGCTATTTGTTATGAGTCAAATTTAGGTCGAATGACTTATACTCAGCAGAGAAAAATGCTAAAAGCAAACAGTATAGATGTATTTCCAATCTGGAATGAAATTCAATTGTTCCAAAATTCTATTACTCCATTGACAACAAGTTATCTTCCAGATCCTTTTGTTGGTGTCTGCAAGTTTTATTGAATCTACCAAGATAACTATTGAGAAAATTTTGAGGCTTGAAGGTATTTCCGTTTCTTCTAGAGGAAACAGCAATACACTAGAAGTAAAATTCGGCTACGATGGAAGTGGTAGACACAAAATTTACAACCAACTGCACAATGTTAACACAAGCAACATTATTATGGCAATGTTTTGTCGACTTAAAATTTTAAATCATGAAAGTAATACATTGTGGCAAAAGCAACATTTTTTTTTTTTTGAAAACATGATTTGTTGTAAGAAAATAGACAAAATAATTTATAAAAAAGATTGTTACGCTGTTAACAATCATGCTAATTATTACTTTTTTGTGCTATAGCTTGTAGTCTAGCTATAAAAAGAAATATTTTTCAACATATTATTCAAATTTTAACCTATACTGTTTTATAGCGATTTTGCAAAACTACTTAACTTATTAGGCATTTATTTACTTTGTCATAAATAATAAATAATGTCGATAATAATAAAAAAATATATAAATAATAAAGTATAGACATTAATAAAAGTAATATTTATTCATATTTTAGTTAATTTCAAAATTTATAAAAATTGTTATGTTATTATCAATAAATTTGTTTTTCTATTGATATGATAGATTTAATATTTTTGTCTTTAAAAATTTATTTTTAAAAACCAATCATGATAACTTTTATTATAAAATGGTGTTATGAAAAAAAGCTCCAAATATTTCAACTCTATGGACAATGTGTAGTCAATAAACAATTAATATGCACTTAGCAACCTGTAAAATCGACATTATTGTGATACCAAGAAATATCTAACAGCTTGGTAACAGGCTGGAGAGGATGGGGTTCCATTAATGAAAGCACAATTACCCTAAACTATTTTTTAAACAGTTCGAGTTTTTTTTTTTTCAAAATGGCATAGATGCAGTGTTATAACATTTTATTATTTGTGAGTGTTACAATTCAAGACATTGTTTTTAAAATAGTTAAATATTCAATAATAAATAATAAATTTAAAATAGTTGATAGTACAAAATTCATACAACAAAAGACATACCATTGAGACAAACCAAAGAAAAAAAATAACCCTAACAAAAATTTTTATTGTTAACTTGATAAAAACAATATAGTAGTACAAAATGACAATATCATGAACAACCGTAAAATGGTTGATAATGAACAACCGGTTGATAATGTGTTACTTGTAAACATTATTTGTATCTTTTTGTTGTGTTAGTTGTGTAGGATAAACATTGCAAAAAGTAAAGTTTTTGCATAACTATCATTTAGATTCTTCAAACCCACTAGATGTTGCTAGCAGAGTTCATGTCAATAAAGGTAATAAGAGTAGTTCAAATTATTACTTTAATTAATCTTAAATAAAAAGTTTTTTAGAAATTTAATTTTACACTATTTTTTAATTATTACAGATTTAATAATTATATAATAATAATAAATAAATCAAAAGTTACTAGCAGATGATAATGATGATGATGATGATGATGATGATAATTGATGTTTAGATATATCAGAGGTATGCACAGCACTAAAAAATTATTATCTAAAGTATTATGGCAAAATAAATGAACTTCAACCACTATTAAAAACACCTGCTAATGTTGATCTAATACAAAAATTTGTTGATCTATGTATTGTTGATGCACATAATCTTCAAATGGATGTTGTTTGTAGCGTTGAACGAAAGCAATTTCTTGAAAAGCAAATGAGTTATACACCAATACCATATAGTGAAATATTTATGAACGAAAAATCAGTAATATTAATATCTGGAATAGCTGGTATTGGAAAAACATGGTTGCTCAGAAAGTGTTTGCTTGATTGGTCAAATAATTTATTTTGGAATAATGTTGAACTTGTGTTTTATTTGGAATGCAGGAGGCTTAATCAATATCAAAATGTTTCGAATATTAATGAATTACTAAATGTTTTCTACAAACATATTTTAAATGATTTTGATATTAGTAAGCATACTACATTGTTTATAATTGATGGATTAGATGAATTTAAATATTTAAATGAATTATTAAATCCAAATTTAAGTTGTAACTTTCCGATTGTTAATGCTTTAGCAGAAATTCAAAGTTATAAACATGTAGTTGCTGGTAGAGTTTATGCAATTGATAAATGCCAAAATATATATACAGAGCATATTGATAAGTTAACCATTCAAATAATGGGGTTTAACCAAGATGGAGTTGAAAATTATGTAGAAAATCATGTTATAGAAGAAAAAAAAGAAGTTGTTAAAGCAACTTTAAAAGAGTCTCCAATTGCAAAAGTTATGGCAACTGTTCCATTTTATTTATCTTCCATGTGTAAAATTATTAGTGATTCAAGCAAAATATATACAACTTCTTTCTTAACGATGACAGAATTGTATGCAAATATTTTTTTATACTTTTTACAAAAACACATTATCAAAAACAATGGATTGGTTTATGAAATGATGGCAAATGAAAATAATAAGAAATATGTATTAACCATTTGTAGGATAGCTTTTGAATTGTTTATTGAAAACAAATTTGTATTTTCAAAAGAAGAAGTTTTACTATTTATCAATAACTTTAATGAAGTTGATGAAAGTCTTTTTGGTTTTATTGAAAGGGTTGAAACACATCTAGGTTATTTTTACCAATTCGCACATTTGACTGTAATGGAGTTTTGTGCATCTGTATATGCATACAATTGTTTAAGCTTTGAAGAGATTATGGCAAATAAAAAGCTGAAGAGTTGTTTATCAATGATTTGTGGATTAAGCAATAAAAACCAAAATATTTTATTAAAGTTTCTTGTTAACCTGAATCCTTCTAAAAAATCAAAAGAGGAGTCTTCACTTTTGGTTTCTATTTTGGGTAAGTAAGTAATTTGTTATTAAACTTTGGTGCATATTTGATAAATATACATATGTACAAATGTACAAATTTTGTTTAATGTCATTTTTTTTTAAAGAGAAAACATATAATTATTAAAATATATCATAAAAATATTTTTTATATTATTTTCTTTTAAGCTTTTTTTTTTTTTTTTTTGATTAGTTGCTATTTTATATATTTCATTCTCTACATTGATTTGATATGATTTACTTTTATTGATATGATTTACTTTTTTTTTTTATTAGGTGTGTTTAACAATATTTAGCAACTGTTTTAGGGAAATTTTGATAAATATGTCAATGTTCTTTTTTTCTGCACAAGTTGCTTGACACAAATCTTTTGTATGTATATTCTTTCTTAAAATATATCCATTGAAGTACTCGGTGTAGTTAAGTCACTTTTAAAATATTTTAGCATCTGTATGATAATTTGTTGACTATGAAATATTTTGGTTAAATAGTCAGGTCTGTGAATTATGAAAAGACGAAAAAAAATAAAATGATAAATTTTTGCGGTACCTTGAAATATAAATGTTTGTAGGGAAAAAACCCAGACCAAAGTTGTTTTTTTTTTTAATTATCTTAAAATCACAATCGCTCATTCAAATTTTAATAAGATTTTAAATTAATACGTTTTTAGGTGAAATGAACATTATAGTTTAACAAAATGATCTGTTCTGTTGATTTATTGGCAATTTTCCATAAATATAAGCTATTTTTTGGTTGGAATTCTAGTATTTTTTGTAAAAATTGATAAAAATATTGTGTTTAGACAACTATATATAGTTAATATATGTCTGAACCAAATAGAACTAGGATCAGTAGTAAATTAAGGAACTTTTTTTAAAAAATTGAACTAAATTCGAGTTAATGCTGATGAGCGAATTTAATCTAAAGAAAGTGTTCTTTAGATTCACTATTACGGGTAGTAAAAAGGTTTTGAAAATTATATAAAAAAAAGAAATGCTTCATTAAATATTAAAAAACCCTGAAGCAAAAAAAAATTATACCATCTAAATCTTTTGTTTGGACATAATACGCTGAAATAATCATGCTAATTCCAAATAAAAGTGTTTGAATAATTTGTAAATGGCCGAGTATGAACCTTAAAGTAAAGTATGAATAAATGGTTTATTTAATTTTTTTTTAATAAAAATAAAAAGCTTTGTTTATACAGATTTATCATTTCATAACTATGCTGAAAAAAGTTAGCCTAAACAGTAAAATTTATTTTAATTTACGTTTTTAATTACTTTTGATGTAAATAAATTTTCAAATTATTTTTTTAATTTATATATTTTTCAAAAAAATGATCAATTTTGTCTAAAAAATTAAAGTAAACAATTTTTAGAAAATTATCAAATTCACAATCATAATTAAAGCTCTTTTCGAGTTATCACTATTATCACATTTATTAACTTGAATGTTTTTGTGTAAATTAACTTGAATGTTTTTGTGTAAATTAACTTGAATTTCTTTGTGTCAATCTATTGAAATATTTGTAATTACAAAAGTCATTTATCACATTTATTAACTTAAATATTTTTCTATAAATTAACTTGAATTTCTTTGTGTCAATCTATTGAAATATTTGTAATTACAAAAGTAGCACCTCATTCTGTATAATAAAACCTATATCCCTAATATCATTATGACATAGCCACAGCTGTTTTTTTTATATCTTGCTTGTATTTTTATTTATCTTATTTTTCTTCTTTTTCTTTGTCTTAAAGTAAAATCTTCTGCTTTAAGATCTCATTACCTTAAACTTATTGATCAAACTTGTTTTTTTTACTTCCAATAACATTCTTCTTTGTCATTTGTTAATACTGCTGTTTGTTTTCTACAAAACTCTGCAATTCCTTCTTTTTTCACTATTGATCTTCTCAGTGTTTGATTAATAAAACCAGTTTCTTATTTTTTGTACAGAATTACCATATATGTATTTATACTATATATATTTATCACATTATAATTTAAACTTTATGTAGGTTTATAATTTTTTAAACCCTTTAGCTGGTGTAGAGCTAATGAATATAAAAGATATAAACCAGTTGTTTTTTTTGATTAAATAATTTTTTAAATAATTCTTTAAGTATTATTTTTTCTTTGTAACATTATTATCTGTGTGTGTGACCTTCTATGTCTTTATAACTTAATAAAATTAAGTTATAAAGACATAAAAGTTAATAAAATTTTCAATTAAAAAAGTAAGTCTGCTTTTGGTTCAACTTTATTTAACATTGATAAGATTGATTACATTTTTTGGAGCTCACCAGTGGGTTTTTCTAAGCTGCTAGTACCTGTTTTTAATTAAAGAAGATGTGAATATAAAATAATAAAAAAATAGTTAAAAAGCTATCGGTCTAACAAATCAACTCAACTCGTTTCTCCGCGCAGCGGCCTTGCTCGTCAAAGTTCGTGTTTCGGAGTTATAGAGTTGAGAGAGGGTTATAACCACAAATAAGTAGCTTCCTCGTCTGTAGTGGCCTTCTCGGCTTTGAGGAAGTGAATTAAAATAAAAAAATATATATATATATATATATATTATGACTAAAATTGTTTGCAACTGAGTTGAGGGCAAAATTTATTTCAGTAAATATTTATCCTGTATATTAATAATGGAAATATGATAATATTAGTTGTGAAAGTAACAAAATAATGATTATATAATAATTCATTTTCAATGCTTTTAGCGCTTGAGTACTTGTCATATCCATAAAACATTTTAGCACATTTCTTGTAACGAGTCTGGCTTTATTATAGTATTTGCACAAAAATTAGTCCATAGAGCCACAAAAACAGAGGCAGTAGGTCATATATTGTTGCACTTAAACCTTAATCAAGTATATCTTGAATATTCTAATTAATGTTTGTACCCATATAAAGATATTTCATCTCTCGATTTATATCAGCATTATCAAACAAACCATTTTCTATTATGTGACCCAGATACTTGAATTTGTCAATGAAACTAATTCACATCCAGCTAAGGTAAACCGTGCAAAGTTGCTTAACACATTCTTACATCTCTGTTTTGGTTTAAATACCATGCACACCGTTTTTTTGTTGTTGTATTAAATGGCATGTTAATGGCAGTGGCTTCAACATTCAATGCAGTTAATAATTTTGCAATGCAAACCAAGATGGAGCACTCAATACAATATCGTCGGCATATGCCAAAAGATTCAAATTTTACCTATGTAACATCAATATGCATATTCGTAATATTGAAAATCAGTGTTCTTATATAAAATATGAACAAGAACAGTGAAAGATTTCCACCTTGCTGTACACAATTACTTATGTTAAAGCTGTCAGAGTTTACTTACTGCCATCTGACAAACATAGTTTGATTCTTGTACCAAAATGCAAGTAGATAGGCAATATTTATGGCAATACCCTGATCAATTAATTTAAAAACAGTTTCAGTATTATTTAAACAGTATTATTTAAGTCTTTTTTAAACAATATGTACAAGACATTGTGGAATGACTTTTCTTGAAACCAAACTGAAAATCATCAGCATTCTCATGAGATATGATTCTTTCTAATCAAATACCTTCAAATATTTTAGAACAAGCCGGAGAGTCCTCCATATATAAATGATTCCATAAACAAATCATCTGGTCCAGCAGATTTTCTCTTTTTTTGCTTATACAAAGGATTAGTTACATCTATAATAGTAACTCTAACAGGTATGTCCAGTAGTGAAGAATGCACTTTCTGTTCAACCTGTATTCTATGCTGGTTATCATTAAGTGAATTATATATTGTTTGGAAATGTTTCTTCCATATAGTGGCAATGTCCTTGTCACCAGTAACTTTGCCAATACTAGCAATATGATTGGTTGCCTTAACATTATTGATATTCTCTGTAACCTCTGTCAGCTTTAATTTGCTCAGTATGATTTTTACAGTGCCTAAAAGTTTAAATACTGTTCGAGTTTTTTTCATTCTTTCAAAGATAATTATATGTTTAGGTTTTCCATCAATTACCCATTGTTTGAATGCATCCCTGCATTTTTTTTTTCTTAACTAAAGCTCATTCATACAATATGTAAGGCACTCTCTTTAAGTTTTCCTACTACCACTACCATTTTCTACTGAAGCTGCTACATCTCTATATGCTGATGCTTAAATTCCTTTATCTTTGTTTAACATTGTTCAATACAATGTTTTGTTGAATCTGTCTAAGATTATGCCTTCTTTTTTATATCACACCACACATCCATCTGTTTAGTCGCACCACACATTCATCTGATCGTTTTTTACTTTTCACAAATACTATTCCATAAATTCTAAACTTTATATAACAATGAAAAGATATTGTATGCCTGCATCTAAATAAATAGTAATCAGATATGTTTATATCCATAATATGTATGCATAAAATGCATCTAGGAAACTTTTAGCTTTTCTGAAATAAATGTTTGGAAGCTTTTATTACTTCTCTTCAATTTTAATTCAAGCCTCATTATACTCCACATTTTTCATCATCTTGAGCAGTTGCTTATTAAACAATAATGATTTTTTTTCATCTTTTTTAAAAGAACATCTCTCTTAAGAACAAATTTTCTTTTATTATTGCGAAAAGCTAATTTAAAAAAGTCCTGTCTGATGTTAAGCTCTGTTATTCTCAGTTTACTAAATTTTTTTATCTTTCTCAGACGTTTGGTTCCAGAGACTTTAGGTTAGTCTTCAGTTTACTAAATCTTGTATCTTTCTCAGATGTTTGGTTTCAGAAACTTTTGATCTTCAACATTGTCGTTAACTAAAGTCTAACATTTAATCTCTAGTTCATGTGTTTTTTTTACTTCTTCTCAGAATAAAGCAGATTTATTTGCAAAGAAATCTTATCCTTATTTGACTCTTGAATATAATAGCCATACTCTTCCTAACACTTGAACAGATTAAATCATTGTTATCCAAATCACTCTTCCAATGAAAAAGTTGATTCTTAATGAAACACTTCTACAG